GGTGCCGAGTTATTAGATGGGCCAATGCAAGTCTATCTGTTGTCGCGATGGCGGATGCCGATATTATTGATGGAGCACGGAAGCATCCGTCATCCGTCGTCGCCGGGAGTCGTTTCGTGGTGTCGCTAACTTTGGCAAAAAGCCAGGCCGCTTCGATTCGTTTCGCTCGTCGATTAAAAAGGCCGTATGCAATAAAAACCCTGGTTCCGTCGAAAGCAATTGAGCTCAAGGCATCGACGCGAAAAGCGAGCGGCAGGGAAAGGAATCTCTCCCTTTAGATGCAGGGCTTTGGACGTTCTGTTGTCGCTGGGACCTTCCGTTCCGTCACGCACGTTGGGTGAAGCAAGCAAGCCAGCCAGCCAGCCAGCAAACCTGGAGGATGGGGACACGGGGGCCAAGACCGCCTGCGTCTTCGAACGGCCAAACACCCAGTTAGTCGAAACGGTCGAACCGTGTCAGGCGAAGACCAAACCAGGATGGCTTGGAGCTGGGCGACATGGACGGGTTTGGTGTTGAGAGATCCAACCCGTTCGGAGATGGAGATCGGGGAAAAGGTGACTGGAAACTGCAAACAAGTGCACAAATTTAGCGGATCCAGCCAAATGCGTCTTCGTCTGTCTGCCTCTCGGTTCCGCTGGCACGCACGCACGCTTGGTTTGCAGCAGAAGAAATATTGGCGCCAGAGATTATGCCACCTAAAGCGGTACGTATATTCTTGGCGCCCCTGGGCCAGACCGTCTGGGCATGATTAGCGGTTGGGGGCTTGTTCGCCCGCTGGCAGCCTCCTGGTGACCAGCTGGCGACGGTTGCACTGCCTTGATTTTCGCGGAGCTGGCTGTTTCCAGATTCCTCCGCACCTGCCTGAGTTGCAGGGTGGCAGCGACGATCAACTCCTTCCATTTCGTGTTTTCGAATACAGCAGCAAAATGCGAGTTACACAGTAGAGGAAAAATGGCACGGCTAAAAAAAATTACTTGGCACCTCCAATGCCCCTTTCCACTTGCCTCTGTGTCTTTTTGACCCTTTTCGATGTGACGAAACCTCAAGGCGTGGTGGCAGAGTGGTCTAATGCGCAAGACTAGAAATCTTGTTCCTTCGGGAGCGTCTGTTCGAATCAGGCCCACGTCGACGACAAAGTTATTCTTTTATCTTGTCTCTTTTTCTTTTCTTCTGTTTTTCTTCTTTTCTTTTCCATTCCTCCTACTTGACCTCCCACACGAAATTGACTCCATACTTCATCTATCTCGCGTATATACAACTCACTAGTTAGCATGGATCTCCTCTGTGTTGGGTATATCCCTGCGTCAAAACATCACCTACCTAGTACTCAAGTCTCGACCAGACTTGAGCGAGAAAGAATATCGCACTGGATAACTCTAGACATGAGAAACCACCGCAATCTCACAATCCCAACTCTAGCTCCTACGACTCTGCAAGTTAACCGCTGGGCAATCCCTGTGAACCCTCACCCACCCCCGGCCAGCTCATACCACACAATTGCCGGTCTCGCCTAAGATATGCCGCGTTATGGCGGGGCCCAGGTTTCAAGTGTGCCATTGTTTCGGCTCAAGCGACCGAGTCGGGCCCATACAGCGACGTTATTGGCCGTGGCGCTCTCCCGCCGTTAATATCCCTCGTACATGCCCTATATCGACACATGTTGATCAACGCCAACACATTTCCCCTTTGGGTGATTTTGTCTTTAACCATTGGTCATGGCGTCAGCGATCTATGCAGGGCGAGAAACGACGTACAGCCCAGACTTAGACGAAGCCTCTCTTAAGTACCGCACCGAAGCGGAACTCCATGATTGGTTGTGTGTTGACGATTCAATATCTCGAAGCTGACGTTACAACTTTGACGGCAGTTGGACCGGGCTTAGTATAACGGCTAAGGGGGCGGCCAATCTAGCTTAAATTTGAAGTCAGTCTGGAGAAGACCATCCAGATAGAAAGCCACCCCTGACCCGGGTTGAAGGGTGAAGTATGCATCTGTGACCATTCGTTGTCTTCAGAAACCCCTGGGACCTCAAAATCGCCGTCAACCTCAGCTAGTATCCCAATATGCGAGGAATCCAGAACGCCGTGGGCCTGTCCCTGCTTGCTGGGGCTTTGGCAGGACCCGTCCAAAAGAGATGGGAGTATAACACGTAAGGAACATACGTGCCTCTCTCCATGCCATACCTGATGATAGATCTAGCATTCGCAACCCGGCCTACCCCCTCGACGTGGTTGACAAACTCGAAGAGTCCATCATGCCCAAGGTCGAGTCCTGGATGGTTAAACGGGTTGGCAAGTCCAACAACTGCACGCTCGAGAATGCCGCGGTCAGGCGGGAGTGGTATGGTGATTAGGCATCCCCCACGCATAGGAGGGTGACACTGACAACCCAACAGGAGCGACCTTTCGGCGGACGAGCGCAAGGAATACATCAGCGCCGTTCTCTGCCTGCAGTCCAAACCCGCCAAGGCGCCCAAGGACAAAGTCCCCGGCGCCCTGAGCAGGTTCGACGACTTTGTCGCGACGCACATGACGATGGCGGGTATGCTGCATAGCCCAAACAACTTGTTTGCCGCCCACCGGTACTTCATCTATGCCTACGAGAAGGCATTGCGTGAGGAGTGCGGGTACAAGGGATACCAACCGGTAACTTCCTTCCCATGTGCATAGACAGTCAATGAAAAATATTAACGCTGCTAGTACATGAACTACGACCGCTACGTCGACGATCCCATCAACTCCCCCATGTTCGACGGCAGCGACACCAGCATGGGCGGCAACGGCGCCCCGAGCACCTACGAGGGCGTTGCTCAGCCATTCCCGAGGCCCTACAACATGATACCGTCCGCTGGTGGCGGCGGATGTGTCACCGAGGGACCCTTCAAAGAGTCCGTCCCCTTTCTCCCATCCCACTCCCAACCCACCCTCACCACCGCTAACAACCACGCGTAGCATGGTCGTCTCGCTCGGCCCCAAGTCGACCATCGTGCGCGACATCCCCGCCAACCCGCGGGCGGACGGACTCGGCAGCAACCCGCGGTGCCTGCGGCGCGACGTCAACAAGTACTCGGCGGCGGGGGCCCGAGCCAACTACACGTACAGCGCCATCATGGACAACCCCGACATCGACAAGTTCTACAACCGCTACCTGGGCATGCCACAGTTGAAGGGCGACACCCACCCGTGGGGCATCCACAGTGCCGGGCATTATATCATTGGCGGTGATCCTGGCGGCGTAAGTCCTTTTGGTTTTTGCTGTCCCCGTTTCCCCTTTTCTGCGCACCCCTTCCACATTTCCCCTTCCCACCTCCCACCCATACTCCAAACAGACAACCAACCACCGCCCCCCACCCCCCTAATTAACTAACCCCTCCCTCAACTCAAACAACAGGATTTCTACTGCTCCCCCGGCGACCCAGCCTTCTACTTCCACCACGGCATGCTAGACCGCGTGTGGTGGATCTGGCAGATGCAGGATCCCGAGAACCGCGTGCACGCCATCCCCGGCGCCGGCGCCATGGACATGAACATGACGCTGGCCATGGACGTGGATATGGGTCAGCCTGCCAATGTGCGGAAGACCAAGCGGGCGGATATCCGTGACGCGGTGGTGGATCTGGGGTGGACGGCGCCGGCGGTCAAGTTGGTGGATTTGAATGAGCAGATGGGGGGGTTGGGCGGGGAGTTTTGTTATATTTATGTTTGAGTTAGGGGGGTGCGTTGTGGAGGTGGTGTTTGGGAGAGGGGGGAAGGGGAGATCGGACTAGAGGTCATTGGATAGGTAGATATAGTATTATGCATTTGCAGGGTCGGTGACAATACGTAAAAAAAAAAAAGAAAAGAAGATAAAAGAAAAAGGAAAACCCCGATCTAACTACTCCACTTAGCTACAGTGGCCAAGGACGACCGAGTGTATGGATGGTCTGCGCCAAGGATTCGCTTCTGAGCCTGAGCACAGTCCTTTATCAATGCCAAAGCATCTGTGTGTCGACATTGACCTTTCCAAGTAAACGCAAGGTTGTTCATGCTCGTCAGCGTGGAAGGGTGGTCGGTCCCGAGCTTGGCCTTGCTCGTCTCCATCACCTGCACAAACAGCTCCTCGGCCTCGTCCCACCGGCCCTGGTTCCTGTATGTCGATGCCAGGTTGTTCATGCTCCTCAGCGTGGAAGGGTGGTCGGTCCCGAGCTTGGCCTTGCTCGTCTCCATCACCTGCACAAACAGCTTCTCGGCCTCCTCCCACCGGCCCTGGTTCCAAAATGTCGATGCCAGGCCGGCCATGCTCGTCAGCGTGGAAGGGTGGTCGGTCCCGAGCTTGGTCTTGCTCGTCTCCACCACCTGCACAAACAGCTTCTCGGCCTCGTCCCACCGGCCCTGGTTCCCAAATGTCGATGCCAAGTTGTTCATGCTCCTCAGCGTGTCTGGGTGGTCGGTCCCGAGCTTGGCCTTGCTCGTCTCCACCACCTGCACCTCCAGCTTCTCGGCCTCCTCCCACCGGCCCTGGTTCCCAAATGTCGATGCCAGGTTGGCCATGGTCGTCAGCGTGGAAGGGTGGTCGGTCCTGAGCTTGGCCTTGCTCGTCTCCATCACCTGCACCTCCAGCTTCTCGGCCTCCTTCCACCGGCCCTGGCTCCTGTATGTCGATGCCAGGTTGGCCATGCTCGTCAGCGTGGAAGGGTGGTCGGTCCCGAGCTTGGCCTTGCTCGTCTCCATCACCTGCACAAACAGCTTCTCGGCCTCCTTCCACCGGCCGCGGCCTATTTGGACCAGAGCAAATAGTGATATACTTGCAAGAGTCGCCAGATTCTCTGCACCCAACTTCTTCTTGCGAACATTTCTCGCCTTGCCTAGCATCTGCTCTGCAACTTCATATCTCCCTTGCGACCATGCATACCATCCCCCGTTATGCAAAAGTGTCGCCCATATTTCGCATGTCTCTTTGCTGGGTTTGTAACCAAGGGCCACTTGAACGTGTGCAAAGAGATTCGAGCACTTCACCCAGTTCTCGTACTCCCCTGTGGGGAATGACGCTGCCATTCGCTCGATGAACTGCTGCTTGAACGTCTCCTGCTGCCCACACGTTTCTAGCCACTTCCTCATCGATAGCTGCACGAGCCCGTGCATCTCGAACTCGTCCCCAACCTCATTCGTAGTGATTAGACAGTAATCCCTTAGCATTGCCACATCGTCTTCGAATTCACCCCTGGTACCATTTGTCTCGCCATCTATGATACTGCTGTTATCATTCCAATTGTGGTCGTCTGGTTCGTCTACGGTAGTAGGATGGGCCGGATGGCGACTCAGACGGTTGTGCAGACGATGAAATAGACGGCGAACTCGAGACCAATATCGCCATAATAAGGCGCTGCCGCTATCATCCAACTTTCCGGCATCTTCACCCCTTGGCCCCATTGCATCGCTTGCGATCTCGGGGTTGCCTAGAATCCACTCAGGGATACCTTGTCGGTCAAAGAAGCTCATAAGCGACAAAAGGTCCGCAGCAGTACGCCGCTTCGACCGGATATAGTCAAAAGATATCTGCCATGTCGTGAGGATCGCGTTGGACGCCCATCCATCCCGTCGCAGGTCGCCGCCGCTGTACCCCAGTAGCCCGACCCTCCTACACTCGTTTTCCCGGAACTCAGCCAGGTATTTCTCAGCTGAGCTCCGCGGCGCCCGTGCCTGGATGTACGCGGCCGCCTGACTGATGGCTAGCGGAACAAGGTCGAGCGCCTCCACGAGATCGGCCGCCACATCTGGATTTGCCAGCGATCCCAGCTTTTTCTCCAGGAGTGTAAGCGCATCGGCCTGCGCCATCGGCCCGACGTCGATCATGTTCTGATGGCGGCCAGTCAGCCTGAAAGCCAAGTCCTTATTGCGTGTGGTCACGATAATCGATCCGTTTCGGCTTTGTGGTAGGTATGTCGCAAACGGCCGCCTGTCGCGCGCATCGCTGCTAGTCACGCCGTGGGCATGATCCGCGTTATAGAACACATCGCGGTCGTCGGCGCTATCAAGGACCACAATCCATTTGCCGTTCCGTTCATTGGACAGCCAGCTGTACACAAGCTGTGGGATATCGGCTTTGGGTTGGTTACGGCCGGCAAGCTTGACGGCGTCGGCGATCGTCCTAAAGCCCTCTTCGACGCGCGCCTGTGTGCCGGCGTGGACCCAGAATACCCATATGTCAGGCTGCCCGACGGCGATCCGGTGAGCGTATTCGATGGCCAGCTGCGACTTGCCCACGCCGCCGAGGCCGACGAGGGCTACCCGACCAGCCGGCTCGGAACATCGCTTGTCGATCTGGTCGAGGATGTCTCCGCGGTCGACGAAATCGGGATCGCGGGAGAAGGGGATGGTCGCGAACGGTTGTGGTGGCGTCTCTGGTCGTTCTGGGAACGTCAGCAGGGTGCAGCATCCCTCGGCTCGAGCGCGCCAATCTTACCTGGCGATAGATGGAATTCGGTGTTGATCGACCCATAATTCTGCCCCACCTGGAATCCTTGGTTTTTGGGTCCGAAAGACGCGGAGAGGATTTGCGACATAGCTGCGATCGAGTCTGTTGTCGACACGATCATGTCGGACGACGGGATGTTTGATGATGTTTTTGCCATGAAGGCTAAGGTTATGCGGCTGAACATTTGCTGCCCAACGACTGCAGCCCGTCACCATCTGCGCGCCGTGGGGCTGGATCAGCTCTTTCCTTGAGCCTCAGTTGCGTTCTAGCCACAGCGGCGTAGCTGATGACAGATACCAACATGACACCTCCCTGACCTGCTTCGCGAAGTTGACGACTTCATGCCGACAAGCCAGAACACCGTAGCATACCGATGGCTCCGCAACTCGCTCCCTCACAACGTGAACAGATCCATGCTATGATAGGTACTCGGTGACTTGCCCAATGGCGTGATAGCCAAAACCGTTGAGTGCAGTGAGCGCGCAGTTCGCAGAATTCGATCGAGACTTCAGCGATTCGGAACAACGACAAGCCCCCCGAACCGCGTCGGCCGCGAGTCGAAGATAACCCCTATTATGCGCGATGCATTGCTTGAACAGCTAGCAAATCGACCCGATATGTTTCGATACGAGATGATCGATTTCCTCTACGATAGTTTCGGCCTCGAGGTGTCCCCGACCACCATTTCTCGAACCCTGAAGACGGAAAGATGGACCAGGAAAACCAATGGCCGCGTAGCGAAACAACGGAACCTAGAACTACGGGAACTGTACCTCTATAAACTCTCTGATTGCCAATCGTACCAGCTGGTCTTTATCGACGAATCTGGCTGTGACAAACGGAGTGGACACCGACGCCAGGGATGGGCGCCGAGTGGAGCGACTCCCGTGCAGGTTGACGAGTTCAACCGCGAACAACGGTTTCAGATTCTTGCTGCGTATACACAGAGTGGCGTCAAATTGGCGCGTATCTACCGTGGATCCACTGATGCCGTTATATTTGAGGATTTTATCGACCAGCTGCTGCACCACTGCGGTAAATGGCCGGAGCCAAATTCAGTCCTTGTTATGGATAATGCCTCCGATGATGGATCGAAGGAGCCCGCCGACTTGTCAGCATGCCGCCAATTTAGCCAAAGATCAGCCGCGGCCAGCAAACCCCTCCACCACTCCGCACACGAACTTTTGCCCCGTCGCTAACTCGTCCAGGACTTCCCATCACAGTATCGGCGGCTTGTAACCATACCCTCATCAGGCACAGTTCTCGACGCATAACCAATAGCCTACAATCTCCTACGAGCCGTTCCACGCATCCGCCAACTTCCCATGCTACTTCCATCCACCCCGAGATCCGGCAGACCGAGAGACAGCGATTGGAGGATGGGGAAGGGGCTGGCTTGGCCGTCTTGAAGTGCTGTCAGGCGACATCCTGTGCAGCGGCTACTTTGTGTAGCTTTGTTGTAACGAATATTTGACAAAGCGAGCAGAATTACCTGGCTGGGCCTGTTGGGTTATTCTCAAGCATGGGACTGGTTTCACTCCGGATCGAGCTCGGACGTTATGCAACATACGTCGATGTGGCCTTGGGCCTCACAAGGCACTGGACTTTGAATAAGCTCCAGTCGATGGCAGCCTTGCTACCGGCGGCGTTTCTTGACGAGCGCGGCACACGGCTGCAGGAAGAAGGGGGTCGGCAGCATTTCCAATACATCGGCGGCGAGGGCGGCACCGGCAAGTCTCGCGTCATACACGCCATCAAGGACATGTTCCGGCTGAAGGACGGTCTCCACACGCTGCTCCTGACGGGCGCCAGCGGTAATGCGGCCGCGCTTATCGGCGGAGTGACGCTGCACTCGGCGGCAAATATTGCGTTTGAGGGCAGGGCAGCGACAGCAAGGAACATCTCGGAAGAAGAGAAGCTGCGGTAGAAAAACATGATCATGCTGGTTATCGACGAGATCAGTCAGGTGGGCGGTCTCACGCTCGCGGCGGTGGACAGCCGCCTGAAGCAGTACACAGACGACCAGCATCGACCGTTCGGCGGGATCCCAATGGTCATGTTCTTTGGTGACTTCTTCCAGTTCGACCCCGTCCTGCAGACCAGCCTCCTCTTGCCAACGCCTAGGGACCCCGGTGGACAGAGACCGGACAGCTCGGCAAAGCACCTAGCAGCGCATAAGCTGTTCCTCCAGTTCACAAACGTCGTCATCCTCCGCGAACAGGTCCGCGCGGCCGGCTGTCCAAGGCTGCGGGGTTTCCTTCGGCGCCTGCGCAATGGCGAGCAGACCGAGCTAGACTTCTAGCGGCTATGCCACCGCGTCTATACACCGTCGAGCGAGTCCTCCTTCGTAGATGGCTTGAGAGCCATCACGCCTCTGAACCAAGACCGGTGGGACCTAAACATGGCGGCCGTCGTCCGGTGGGCTCGTGCCCACGGCAAGCACATCTCCATCTTTGTGGCCAAGCACGATACTGAGTCGGGGAAACGACTGAGTGCGGGGGACCTATGCCACGTGCTCCGCTACGGAGACGACTCGCAGCTGCCGACCCCCGGCCTCTTCTTCTACGCCCAAGGCATGCCGGTCGTGGTGACTCGCAACCAGTTTGTCGGGCTGAAGGTGGTCAACGGGGCGCCTTTCAAGGCCGTCGACATCTTTCCCGACCTCGCCGCCGGCACCATCGCCCTCGCCAGCGATGTGACTCTTCATCTTGGACCGCCGGTGGCCGTCCTCCTTCAGTCAGACGACAGCGCGGGCCTCGCCATCCCCGGGCTCCCCAATGGCACCATCCTGATCAAGAGCAAGACGGTCGCCATCCCGAGCCAAATGCGGGGCAAAGAAGGCAGATGGAGGGGCAAGCCGGGTTTCAGGTGGGTTACCCACAGAACCGGGCCTCTCTGCACCCCAGCCTTCGCTATGACAGATCAGAAGAGCCAAGGCAAGCAGTTCTCCAACGTCCTCATCAACCTCAAAGGCGTCCACTCGAGTGGCACGGCGACGCTGCCCAGCTTCATGAGCCTGTACGTGCAGCTGTCGAGGGCGCAGAGCTGGGACGGGCTGCATCTGTTTCGGAAACCGGCGCGTGGCGACTTTATTGAGCCCAAGAATGTGCTTGACAAAGACATGAGGGAGGCCATCCTCAAGCTGGAACGACGGGGTGAGGAGACCAGACGGCGGTTCGAGCAAGACCACAGGCACGAGTCGTGGTTTCAAGAATGGGCTGCCATGCCTGAATCTGGCCGAGGACGCGGCGCTCTGGCCGCCCATCTTCAGCAGCGTTAGGACTTTGCGAGGGACGAACAAGAGGACTGTCTTGAGCCGGCCAACCCAACGCTGCAATGCAGCTGGGGAAGATGACTAGCATCGATAGTTGAAGTACTTTGATCGCCACGCTAATGTGCTGCTTTCATTCTGGCGGAAAGCGAGAGTATGGTGTCCATAAACCAGTCTAGGCACTGTCGCACATTCGTTAGCATGTTCTCCCACATCCTATCCCAGAAGATCTCCGCTGGGTTTGACTGGTTCTGTTGATTAGCTGATTCTGTTTCCTTTTCCGACTTCGCTGCCGCCCCCTGGCCACCACCAAAATGGCCCCTCAACTTGCGTACCGCCGCACACGTCTCCTTGAATAGCGCTTTCGCGTCCGCGCGGATAGCACCCTTGACCGCTTGCAACTTGTCAACAAGCATCTCGCCCCAGCAAAGGCGAGGGATGCTGTACCAGTCGGGAATACCGCTGTCCCGGTGGTAGAGGCACCGTTGGAGCGGGTCTGTCAGCGTCCTGTGTGCCGTCCGGTAGGCCTCGAGCTTGGAGGTGGCGAAGGCGCTCGTCAGTACGCTGTCTTTGGTGTCGTGGACGAAGTTGTTGTAGGCGGCTGTGATGGTCTTGGACGATGACGTGGTCTTGACGCCGAGCAGCTTTCACGGGGAGGTGGGCTTGGGCTCGAAGGTCGAGTCCGTGGGGATCGAGATGACGGCGAGGAGGAAGAAGGCGAAGAGGAGGAGGGCGCCGAATGTTCGCTTCACGGCGGGTTTGGACGCGGTTCTCATTGCGTATGTGCCGGCAAAGATGAGCCACTCTATTACCGGTGGATCTAAAGCTAGTGTGACTAGCAACATTGTCTCTAGCACTTCGTCGAGCATAAGCGTGGCGGTCATACGTGTGGTCCGCGAAGGATGAGGTAGGAACTGTTGTGTGTATTTTGATGATGTTATTAACGAACTGAAAGCTCAGTCAGTGATATATCTAGCGGTGTTTTCAATATGGGGTTGTGGTGGCTGATGCCCAATAGGAGCGGGCGCATTATATACGTTTAACTACCTTCAGGTTGTTTTTTTTTTAGTTCTTCCTTTTTTGGTCCAACTATGGGATTGTGTCGAACGGACCGAAATATCGATGCTTTGTTGATAATACACCAAAAATAGATTTCTTGTCTGCGCATAATGAACCCCTTACTCCAGACAATGAATCCCTTTTGTCCTCGATAATCGAGGCTCCATGATTTTACATTGACTGCTACCTCCAACGCCAACAAATGCTCCTCTCGCCCATGCAAAACAGGAGAAACCCCCTCCAAATATAATACAACACAAACAAACCATTACGTACTTTATTCCGCTTCAGCCCCCAGACCAACTCACGACGGTATCGGCACCTCGCCCACGGCAATCCACTCCCCCTTCCCTCCACCAACATCCAACCTCACCTCCACCACCTTCCCCCCCTTCTGAAAAAAACACCTCCTCTCCTCTCTCGCCTCCTCCACCCCCACAGCCTTCTCCGCCGCATTATACGGCGACGACCCCATCGTCAGACACGCAATATCCGTATCCCTGTCCGCGCCCTTCAGCGCCGCCGGCGCCGCCGTCTTCCACGGCACGTCCCCCTCCGACCCGGCCGCCGAGTCCGTGTACAGCACGCTGATCTGCCCATCGTCATCCCCCCCCGCCGAGGTAGAGCACGTAGGTATCGACGCGGCGGTCGGCGTCCCCCGCGCGCGCGACCGAGAAGGCGGCGATGGGGGCCTGGGAGGGGAGGGGGATGTCCGGGAGGGTGGTGGGCCAGGGCGGGTGGAAGGTGGCGGAGCGGTTGGGGTGGTTGAGGTCGGTGATGTGGACGGCGAGCTTGGAGGAGGTCTTGTCCTGGTAGAAGACGGCGTAGCCGGGCTTGACGGCGATGGTGGAGAAGTCGGTGGCCGTGGGCGCGATGGCCAGCCGCGAGTAGGCCGCCGGGAAGATGTCGAGCTCGTTGTTGTCCCAAGAGGTGGTCGGTCGGAAGGTGCCGCCGAGGCGGTTGCGCACGTGGTGCAGCATTCCGGCGCCGTCTTGGTAGAGCGTCCAGGGCCAGTAGGCGCCTAGGTTGCTGCCGAGGCCGGTGTAGATGTCCATGTCGTTGACGCTGTCTTCCTGGACGTTGGGGGTCTCTTGGTCGTTGAGGCTGACGCCGAGGAGCCGGGACTTGACGCCCGTGTAGAAGAGCTCTACCGTGGGCTGGGAGAGGGGGTTAGTGTTGGGGGCTGGGGAAGTCGGGGAGGGGAACCGACCTGGTAGAAATCGCCCCAGATGATTGTTGACGCGGCGAGGCGGCTGCCGGCTATGGCATACGAGTTGATTTTGACTGGTTCCGCCCAACACGTGGATTCCTTGTCCGTGGTGCGGAGGCTCTTGTCGCACCGTACATACTGCAGCTCGTCCTTTTGGTCTTGGAAGAAGAGGTACGTGTCGGAACTGCCGTCCGGTTTCCTCCACCCTGTCACGGCCAGTCCTGAGCCCTTCCGGATCGGTGTTGTGGTTGTAGTATTCTTAGGTGCCGGGTCGTCGGCTGTGTCTGCGTCTCCTGAACTTCCAGAGTTGTCCCCCCCAGTGCCCGTGTTGTTTCCACCATTGCTTCCTGCGTCCTGGTCCCCCTGCGATGCCGACGTGTTCGCTGACGAGGAGCTCGCCGCCCTGCTCCCCAGTACGCCCCCCAAAACGGCGCCCAGAATGACGAGAACGGCAATAACCCCTCCGATAATAAGCCACAACCGCTTCCGTGATTTGGCCGCCGTGGAAGGTGTGGCAAGCGTAGAATGCGGATGTGAACCGGGCGATGGGTAGTGCTCTGGGTCTACCGAGTAGGCGTACGTATGTGGTGTGGCCGCTTCTTTGGCGCTATAAATGTACTCACTGCTCGCGACTTGAGGAAGGGATTGGTCATAGTAACTGGAAGCGTGCTGCTGGTTGTTGACCGCCTCAAGATCCGGCTGGTCCATTACTTCGAGCCCGGGCTGGGCCTCGGGAGAGTGGTAGTGCTGCGTCATTGACCGCGACTGAATTCTGCCCGCAGCAGCACGCTTGGAAATGGCCGTCTCAGATCACAGAATGCGGGTTGGATTGCTTGTGAATTGGTGTTGGGGAATGGCTGGGGGTATGTAAATGCATGGTTCTTCGGAGACTTCAAGCATCCTTGTCAGGCATGTCAGGGTCAGGGGGTAGGATGAGCCCCCCTTGGCCGTCGCCAATGGCAGGGTGAAGAGTGAGATGCCAGGGGCGCTTACAGGGGATCGAATCCTCGCAAGCTTGGATACCCGCAATATAGCCCCCAACCAAGGCCCAATTCGATTAGCCTTCCCGCGTGGTGCCATTAATATCCTGCTTCTCTTCAGCCCTGGCGGCTAGACGACGGCGCCGTGAAGGATGGCTGGCCCCATGATGAAAAGTTCGGTCCAGGCCTCAAACAAAAGAGAAGCGCAGCTGTTAAGCTAGCTGCTGGCTGCTATCAGCTAATTATACGTCTCTCTAGTTAGTTAGCGTGCTTACTTCATACGACTGCCTTGACCTCGTAAACATTATTGTAATCTTAAATACCGTGTATCACGAAGATACCGACGAAACCAGACGTTATGCTCTCGGACGGCACAGACGCATTGCATTATGCTGAGGTCTTTGCGCCCCCGCCTCGCAGAGGTTTCTGCAACACTTTGACAAGAGCGTTGTGGTTAGGTAGGCATGGTAGCACAGGCAAATTAGCCGAGCCTTGGTCTCACCCAAATTTCAGCGTACACTGGATGGCCGTGTCGAGGGCAGCTTGGATTCGCATAAAAGTGGGCGTCTGACAATCTTTAAACTCAAGTGTACTTCGTAGTCCGCCTCATGATCATGACCCGGGGTGAGGAGTCTGAGAGTGTCTACAGGATAGCACGGAAACAAACGGGTATACATGGAATTAAAGAATAACCTTGGGATCTGTTTCTTTTTTTCTTTTTATTCTTCCTTTATTTCTGCTGGTCAACGGCAGTATGCAGACGAGATATAAAAGAGTCGGTGTTTCGAGGGAGGGCATGGTATCCTGGCTTTCTGATGGCAGCTTTACGTGGATGTATCTACCCACGTGCTATTTAACTTGACATGACGTATACCACGCTACTTGGGTGAAGCCTATTGTTTGTCGCACGATGAATATGAGGTGTAACCAACCATAGACGGCCCGTTCCGAGCCCCCTTCCATGGGTACTCCTCTGCGCCATTGATAAGTGCGGTGTTGTACCTGATTCTCATCTCATTATTTAAGGGGCCGTGAATGGGTACTTAGGTACTTATGATTATTGAATGACCTTGAATTACGGATGTTTAGCGGGTATTGGCCCCAAGAAGATAATTTTGCGTCCTTCTTTCTACATAATTATCTCCTCCGTTCTGAACAGCGAGAAATTGGAAGAGGATTCAGCAAAGCTGGGGATATGAATGATGCCATTTCACCTATGGGGTAAGAGGAAATAAACTTAGGAGAGAAAATGAAGCAAAGGAAACTCGATGCGGTGTGACAGAGCAAACCACGCAAGCTGCTGACTCCCCGCCCGCCTCGTACTCATACACAATGTTAGAAGGGTCGAATACAAGAGCTTCATGTTGGTTCCCGCCGTAGCTACCAATATGGGCGGCAACGTTGCGTGGCAGATACGAGGTGGTATTGTACTACGCAGGTGTTTAGCCGCCGGGGAGGTAAACCGCGGTGATGATCTTTTTTCATATATCTGCTCAGTAATGCCATCTCAAAATAGAACTACTTAAGCCCCGGCCAAACCTACCTTTATCAGCCCTGGACCATTTCAACCAGCTAGGTCAGCATCTAGCATAGGTACGGTACTTAACCACCGCAACCCAACACCAACAAATTACTCAGACACACCTCCCTACCAGTGACCACAACCACTCCTGCTACCACCACCACCACCACCACCACCACCACCACCACCACCACCACAACAACAACAACAAAAACCCACCACCATGTTCAACCCCTTCACGCCCCTTCTCCTCCTAGCAACAACCGCCCTCACCACCGCGGCCCTGACCCCGCCACCCGCCATCCTCACCCCCTGGCAAATCACCTCCCTAGGCACGCACTCCCCGTCCGGCCGCCCCGCGGGGCACCCCTACTCGCAGCTGGCCTTCTCCATCCACGACCCCAACACCATCACGGTGGGTACGACGCCGTACGGCAACGCGACCTTCCCGCCGCTGTCGGCCAACTGCACCGTGGTGTGGATGTCGTACGGGCCGGACCCGCGCGAGGAAGGGTTGGTGACGGCGTGTGATGATGGGGGCCAGCTGAAGGGGCGGTGGACGTTTGAGGTGCTGGAGGGGGAGGGGGAAGGCGGGGGGTCGGCGACGGCGGATTTTGGGTTGAGGGTGCGGTTGGAGGAGACGGTGGTGTTGGGGACGGGGGCGGCGGTCAGTTTGAGGTTTGTGGGTGAGGCGGCGTTTCGGGTGGGGCGGGAATATGGCGGGGACGTGTGGAGGGAGTGGGGTGTGTAATTGGGGGTTGAAGAAGGAGAACGCGCCCGTGTTGGTGAAGCAGGAGTTGGAGGCGATGGAGTGTGTGGTGGGGGATTGTGATAAGCAGTGGGATGAGTGAGGGGGAGAGTGAGTGGAGGGGTAGGGGGTGGTGATGGGATTCGGGGAGGTTAGAGAAAATAAGGAGACTTGATAAATGGAGTTGTAGCTACGGCATGAGGATTATGACTCAATATGGTACTCACTCCGTGTAAGCAATTGCAGATACGGCGCCCTTCTGTTAATGAGGGCCACCCCGCTTCTGTCGAGTGGGGTGGTGAGGTGACTCAAGAACCGCGTCAAGCTGGCTTATAAAGCACCCTCACGCCATCAATCCATCACGAAACGCATTTCTGCTCACCTAACATTTCTACTTACCTTCTCTGGTCAAAGCATCTTCAGCCATACCCCATCGTCGACCTGGCATCCCAAGAACCCCTGACAATGGCAGACCTCAAGCTCGACTTCGTCACCCTGGACGTCTTCACCGACACCCGGTACCTAGGCAACCCGCTCGCGGTAGTCTTCGTCCCGGCCGCCCTCCAGGACCGCCTCGACCAGACCACCAAGCAGCGCATCGCGCGCGAGTTCAACCTCTCCGAGACCGTATTCCTGCACACACTCCCCAACGAGCCCAACCCGGCCACCACCCGGCAAATCGACATCTTCACCCCCAAGAAGGAGCTCCCCTTCGCGGGGCACCCGACCATCGGCTCGTCCTACCTGGTCCTGCAGCACCTCGGCTGGGGCCACATTGACACGCTGCAGACGAAGGCCGGGCCGATCCGCATCGAGGCGTTGGCGGGCGGGGCAGGCAACGGCCGCATCCGGGCGGCGATCCCGCACGCGGTGCGCATCCACCAGAACACGCTGGACAGCCTGATCCAAGCCCCCTCCACGGCGTCGGCGACGGTCAAGGCCGTTGAGAAGGGGCTGTCGCCGCACGCGGACATCCGCGCGGCCGAGCTGAGCGCGCCTGTTGTCAGCATCGTCCGCGGCATGAGCTTTGTGCTGGTGCGGTTGGAGAGTTTAGAGCAGCTAGGGCGCGCGCCGCCGGTAGCGGATATTGATTTTGGCGGGATTGATTTGCTGGATGAAGGGGAGTGGCGTGAGAGTCATACTTCGAGGTATTACTATGTTTTGGGGGATAAGGAGGGGTCTGTGGGTGAGGATGGGAGGACTAGCATCCGGACGAGGTTGCTGCGGATGGGGTATGAGGACCCTGCCACTGGCAGTGCGGCGTGCACGCTGGCGAGCTATCTGGCTTTGAAATCGGGGGTGGTCGACAAGGAGGCGTCTTTTGCGATTACGCAGGGCGTGGAGATGGGGAGGCGGAGTGACATTGCCGTTGATGTGTCTGTCCAGAATCTTGATCCATCGGGTGAGATCGGGGTCAAGGAAGTTCACCTTGGTGGAACGGCCGTGGTTGTTATGAACGGGAGTCTCAGTGTGTAAGCTAGGCGAGGGACTCGGGAATGGCTGAATCAGAATGAATGACCTGGGCCACTTATGCGAGACTGGTTTGCTAAAAGTCGGCGGCGAGACATAGATTCTTGAAAGTTAGGAGGGGGAAGGCACTTGAAGCGGGGATGAATGACAGTTGTGTAAAAATTGACTGAAGTTAAAAGTTGGGCAGAGATGCTGATTATCTGGACTCATCAATTGATGGGAACACTTCTGGCCTCCAGACTCGCGATTTTTCCAACGATTCGGGAACTTGACGCACTTCTTTTCCAAAGATATGATTGGCTGTCTGTTTGTATGTGGGACCACGAGTCTTGGCTCGTGCCTCGATGCGCGACAGGTTGCCAGCCGCCAAAAAGTTGGGGAGCTCCTTTGAAAGTCGCATTCAACAACAGACCCATCCAACCACTTCGTCAGAGGAACAGCACCAGACCTCAAGATGTTGTGTGCACGTATGTCTATATTGTACTTAGTCATGTGCTAGGTGTCGTGTATGCTAACAATTGATGCAGTCTCAGGCGAGGTCCCAGAGGAGCCCGTGGTGTCGCGGAAGACAGGTCCGTCGCATCACCCGTCACCCGCCCCCCATCGCAAACCCTAGATGGGGGTGTCTTATCGTCATGCTAACTTGGGACCATAGGCACCGTGTTTGAGAAGCGGCTCATCCTCAAGTACATCGAAGAGAACGGGAAGGAGCCCGGCACCGACGAAGAGCTCGATCCCGAAGACCTGCTGGCCGTCAAGACCAGTCGCGTGGTCCGGCCCCGCCCGCCAAACTTCACGTCCCTGCCGTCGCTGCTCAAGGCCTTCCAGGACGAGTGGGATGCGCTGGTGCTCGAGACATACAACACGAGGGAGCAGCTGTCGCGGACCAGGGAGGAACTCGCCACCGCCCTTTACCAGCACGATGCAGCGGTCCGTGTCATTGCGCGGCTGACTAGGGAGCGGGACGCAGCTCGCGAGGCTTTGTCTAATGTTACCGTTGCGCAGGCAGCAACGGGGCCTGCGAATGGCGATGCTATGGCCGTTGACAATGAGAGCCTGCCGGAGCACCTGGTGGAACACGTGAACGAGTTGCAGCAACAGTGCGTCACCCAGATCTCACACTGACCGCATACCGGTGCTGACACATGCCGCAGATTAACCAAGGGCCGAAAGAAGCGCCCCGTTCCCAAGGGTTGGGCCAATTCAGACGACGTGGCCGGCCTCCAGCAAGTCGCGTACACCGACCTGACCGTCTCGCAAGCATCATCCCTCGACACCGAATCCGAGTACGCGGCGATTGGCGGCCTGGATGGGAAGCTTGATATCTACTCGATCCAGGGCAACACAGTGGAGAGGACGCTCGAGATTGGCGAGCCGGTGACGGCCACGGCCTGGACTGGGAGCAAGGTCATCCTGGCTACGGCGAAGGGTTCTGTTAAGGTGTTCGATAACGGCAGCGAGACGGCCTCGTTCCAAGCACACGCCGGCCCAGCGACGGGTCTCTCCGTACATCCGGGCGGACGGATTTTTGCCTCTGTTGGCGTGGACAAGAGCTTCGTATTTTACGATCTGGAGTCGCTGGCACAGGTGTCTCGGTGCTACACCGATGCTTGTACGTCTTCTCGTCTTCTCCCATTACCCCAATTCTACATTTGCTAACCATTGCAGCTCTCACCGCCTGCGCATTCCACCCCGATGGCAAACTCTTTGGTGCCGGGACACAGTCAGGGGATATCAAGGTCTTCCAGTCCGATACCGGCGAGCAGGCGGAAAGCTTCAACCTCGGCACGCCGGTGCAGACGGTCGTCTTCTCTGAGAATGGCTTCTGGTTCGCTGCGGCGGGCAAGGGCCAATCGACGACGACCATTTTCGATCTGCGGAAATCGGGACCGGCGGCTCAGGTTAAGGAACTGCAGACGGGTGATGCTCAAGACCTGGCATGGGACTACACGGGCCAGTACCTGGCGACGGCTGGTTCGACCGGCGTCACGGTGCAGATGTACTCGAAGGGTTCCAAGTCATGGTCCGAGCCGCTTCGCACCAGCACACCTGCTACTGCGCTCCGATGGGGTGCCGAGGCCAAGTCCCTGGTCACGGTGAGCAAGGAGGGCGTGGTTTCCGTGCTTGGGGCTAAGGAATGACGAGGGAACCGGGGGAACCCAGCGAGAGGGTCACGGAATGGGTCTGAGGGAATGGGTCTGAGCGAGGCTGTAACATAGATGTTTTTGTCCTGGCGCCTGAAAATGTGATACCTGCATTGGAAGAAGCTTGAGGATGCGAGTCATTTACTTGTGGTTACTTGTGGGTTCTTTGTCTAAATTAGGTAGGTTGGTTTGCTGTTCGGTCCGTTCACAGGCAGAAGTACCTTGAGTTAATTACTTTCCTTGTCACCTGACTCAGTTGGGTCGTTGGTTGATCAGGCAGTGCCACGCAGTTGCCCACCTGTGGTGAATTTCCCTCGTGGGCCCGGGGCTGTCAGAATACGGGATTCGCTAGTCAAATCAGGCAATCAAGGATGGTTGTTTTCAGCACTTGTTTCGATGCTCCTCTCATTGTTGTTTTTATTCTCGTGTCTTGCCTGGATCCCGACATGTGGGTCCCGTCCGGGTTTTACCCGTCGAGATGAGGGGTGGTGGTTAAGCTAAACATGCCCCGTTTACTTCATATCCGAAGCCTCCACCCCGATATTCTGACAGGAGCCTTGTGCTTTTCGGAACATTCGTAATCTGCCGGTAGCCGCCAGGGGGGGGCAGAAGCGGCGAATTCCGGTCACCACCGAACGTCCGAGGCCACAGCTGACAACATTCCTTGACTCGTTCTAAACAAAAGAGAGGCGTCACTTTTCCTCAAAGGCTGCACTTAGCGCCTGAAAACTCTGCAACCCATCTCGTTCCGTGCACAATACTTTATACTGCCTTTTGGTTTTAATCCTCGAACTTGCTAGGTTTAAATCCCACGCACCCTCTAGAGGGACTCCACGATTACCACGACGAACCGTCATCTCTAGAAGAAGCAAGGGCAGCGCCCCAACTACAATATCCTGCTCGTCGCCATCGCATTCAATAGATACGGATACAAAAGTGGTGGAATGTGCTCTCGGCTTCCGCGGCAGTAAAGCGACGATTGGAACACGAGCGAGAGAGGCAGAAATGGACAACCGCGACCCCCGCCCCATAGACTTGGAAGACTTGCTCTCTGATCCTTTCGACCCCGCCCCGCCTCACCCCGCGAGCGACTTTTCGAGCTGGCCTGCCGAGTCCTCACCGGCGCCGGGTGGCGACGAGGGAATGGACACCGACGGCTCCGAGATGGAGCTATCGGACGAGGACTTTGATGATGAAGGGCAAAACGAGGAGGACTACGATGGACGCGACGAAGACGAGGACGACGAGGAGGAATCCGATGCCGGAGAGACACTCGAGGACGCGTTCCTGGCGGATGGTGGGGTGGGCGATTTGGACGGTTTTATGGACGATTTTGAGTTTGAGTTTGAACCTTGGGCGGCTGGGGCTCACGGCCGTGTCGAGGATGATGATGAGGGGCTTTTCGTCGACCAAGGGCCTGGTTTTCTCCCGCCCCTCGAGGAGATCCTCTCCAACGTTAGACGGAACCACGCACGAGCCCTCGATCTGGTGTCCGAACTGCATTCCGAGGTGCGCAATCTTGGCTACGGAAGGACACCTCGCAATTTACGCAATTTACGCGAGAACCATCGCCATCACCCATACGCCGCACCGCAA